TCCACACTAACGACCTCGATGATAGAAGTGCGGATGTGGGGCAGAGTGCAAAACTTGATTCCCTTTCTGACGATGACCGCTACACCACCCCCCCTGGAGCTGGTGCGATCAAGCCGGATAATGTTGTGGTCAGGCAACCAGAAGCTGTCACCGGACTTTAGGTGGGTCTCGGTTAGAAGAACCACGTCGATGCTATGCTTGCGGAGGAAGTCGGCAAGCTCAATCTGTTTTGCTCTTACAGAGCAAGCGTTCCAAGTAGCGATGGTTAGCGGTTTAGACACCATACTGGATGATGAACTTACCGAGCACTTGGATCTGTTCGGGCTTATTGCGGCACTTACGTAGAGCACCGGTCATGTTGACAAAAATTTCCATCAGTTCATCCGCTGAAAACAGATCGGGGTTGTTGTTTTGCGCTGGTGGTTGTCTCCAGAATCCAGGGGGGGATGGAGAGCTTTGGCCAGTAGAATCACCAGAAGTTGCTTGAGCGGAATGCACCCGCGAATTCGCTTGCCTTTGCTGAGGAGCACGAAGAGGCGGGAAATACTCCGTCCGAAATGCCGGGACTTTGTCCTTCTTGCGTCCTGGTTGGTTGTTAACTGCCGCCTGTTTTCGGATGCGTTTGAAGTCCTCGCGTTTGGAGCACTGTCTGTCGGAACCTTGGTGAGCACCACCACAGTTGGCGCATTTTAACGCCACGGCTTCATCCGCAGGGCAGTCGGAAGTGGCGTGGTCTTGAGCGCAATTGCCGCAGCGTGGCTTAATGTTACAGTTGCGGGTGCCGTGTCCAAAGTTTAGACACCGTTGGCACTGAGTCACATCGCGATGGCCGCCACGGTATGGCTCCCAGCGGACGATGATGCAATTGATGGAGTGGATGGCTTTCAGCGCGTTGAGCGTCACCGTTCCCTTCTGGAAATGTACCAGGAAAAGGCAATCCGGATACGCCTTCATATTCTCGTCTCTTCTTGTCATCCGATAGACGGCACTTGGGGCCAGCTTGTACCGGTCCCTGATTTCAGCTTCGATAAACTTCGGGTCGAAGTTTGGTAGGCCCCTGATGACGACCTTGAATGGTTTCTCACCGGAAATGTCGTGGGTGAAGAATTCCACCTTGGAAGTCCTCAGGTGGGCGACGACCAAGTCATACTCCGCTTTGGTACGGAGCACCACCTTGGTGCCGACTCTGCCCAACTTGTATTCGGCTTTAACGCCCAGCGTCGCTAGATCCGCGATGAGCTCATTAAGATGAGCATTTTTAACTACCAATGGAGGTAGCTTCACTTTTGCCGTTGTCGATGGTGTCGCCGAAATCACCGATGTCGCTGGCGTTCGTTGCTGTGACGTCATCACGTCCACTCGCACCATCGGACTGGCCTTGGTTTTTCTTCCTCTTCTTGGATCGCTTCACCGTGGCGGAGGTGGTATTCCCAACATCGGTGGGAAGAGTAGCGTACCTATTTGAAATAGGTACACTCGTGCTACACTCACCACTGTTCTTTTCCGCTTTCTCACGGAGCCTGCTCCGGGAGCGCTGTCTTCCCATCACACGATGCGACCGACACTACTGACGACGCGAATAAACGTTTGGAATAACTATCGAACAACTCGACAGAGCGAGCAAATACCGGACTGTACTGCTTGACGAACAAGCAGAGAATCATGAGCTAATGCCATACAGCAGCGCTCTTTTATATCTTTTCAGGTTAAAGCAGAATGATGTGCAACCAAGTGGTATAAAAGCTACACAGACTCCTCCCATTATGAGTAGTTTGCTATCAAGTAGCGACACTGGCTCTTTTCCTTTTGCGTACACGGCGAATGAGAACGACCCAAATTGAAGTTTAGTTCACTCATAATCGCCAAAAGTGCAGGAACTCAGCGATGAGTAAATTTGTCTCATGGTTTCCTGTGGAAAACCTACAAAATCTGCCGGATAATGAGGAAATTGACGAAAATTTTATTCAGTCTTGGAGTAGTACCAATAGACTGAGTGAATCCAATCTTTACTTTTCTCAAATTCGGGATTTTTTCCCTGGAAAATCCTGGGAAAACATTAGGCAAATCTACTCATCGCTGAGTTTCTTATTTCTGAGATAACTAAACTTAAGTTTGGGTCGTTCTCATTCGCCGTGATATCACCTTGAAAGATATCGGCGCCGGTGGTTAGCGTGATTACCTCTCACCCCAGCAGGCCTGGGTCCAATCTCAGTCGGCGCCACCGGCATGTTCTAAGGCATAACATCTCTGATCACGCCTTCCTTCGGGAAGTAAAGCCGTTGGTCCCCGGTTGAGTTGATGGGTCGATTGGTAGGGTCCAGGTGTGGGAGCTGCCTCCCTGGCGTCGGTAGCATTGGAGCTCAGTACGGAAAACAAATCTCGCATCAGTTTTCAATAGGTCCTATCTACATTGATCGATTCTCTTCATCGACACTCTCTTTCGTAAATAACTCGGTTTCACAAATGTTTCCTGCCGTCTTCGTCGAATTAGATGCTAGATTGTTGCTTCTTCCATCGAAAATATCCGGCCGTGGCGATTCAAAGTTGATCAAGGTTGATCAAAATAATGTGTACCCCTGCTTCCAGTTTGATTACATGAGCATTTTGTGTGATCGTTGGTTCTGAATATGGACAAACAGGCAGATGATTTCTATTCCTACTCTTACTGTAATAAGCTTGGTGGCCCTGAAAAGAGCCGTTTTGTTACCAAAGTTTGTGATGATTTAACCTCCGAAACCAAACAGAGTGCGTCTCTGTCACTTCAAAACGTAGATGACATCCATGGCCACTTACGCTTGGCGTGTTTAGTGTAGGTTACAGCATCACGGATCTCATTTTTTAGGAACACCTTCAGAACACCTCGTAAATCAGACCGGAGATACGTCAGACACCGCCACGGCGAGCCAGACGCCAGATGGTAGTTATCTCGAAGAATTTGCGTTTGGTTCTGAATATGGCGATGAGTGTGCAAAATATTACGCAATTCTATCCTCCTTATTCGCACGCGCCCGAGGATCGGAGGCGAATGTCACTTCGACTTGTTTCATCTACTTACTACTCTCTGACGACTGTGCTGGGGAAGCAGCATATGCATGTAGGTAATTGGTGGATTTGTTAGTTAATTCACGCTTTTGGACAATGATGGACATTTACCAGTTTTCAATAGTTTCTTGTTGAAAATCAACATTCAGAAGCATTGTTATCGATGCATAGCCATATTTCTGATCGATTGGTGATAAAATTATTGAAATTGGACCAGGGGCAGCTGAGTTATTAACGTTCAAAATCTTTCTTAATTTGTTACATGTTTCATTTTCGGTTTTCACAAAGTGTACCCCCATATAGAAATCAAAGACGTAGTCCTACGTCAAAATCCCGCGATTTGGGATTTTATTTTTCGAAACCCTGGAAATCCCGGGATCGCGGGAAAAATTCAAGATGCTTAATACTTACTAAATTCCCAAAAAATATGCCTTTGGACATGCTTCAGTCTTAGTAGCCAGTGCTCTGAAAATAAGATTTTAAAAAGCAGAATTGAGTTCCATCGTTCCAGCCAATCCATCCATTATATGATCGTTAGGACCAGTGCTGCAAAATTTCGACAATTCACGGTGATACTCAAAATTCTGCTTTGGTCACTTGTTTGAGCTAACAGTCATCGTCAAGGCAAACCATGTCAATTGTCAGTAGCATTTTTATCAGTGACGAACATGTGCTGATTTGTTTATTAGCTAAATTTGAAATGAAATTAAATGGCAAGAGCAAAACAATTACATGGAGCCATTAAAGTGAATAAGCATCTACGTCCTGAATGGCTTGGATAACAATAATGTGACTCAGAATGCAAGAAATTACACTTTCTGTTACCAGGTGAATCTTTGTCATTGACGAAAAAATGAATGAGGTTTTGACAAAGATTTTTTTGAGGATCAAGTCTATCATTGACTATGTGAAAAACAATTTTGTCAATATCGCGCAAAAGTCTGTCAATGACAATGACAAATCTCAGCACTGGTTAGGACATCAATATCGTTTACCAATACGAACCCTGCTGCAAACCTCAACCCTTTTATTCAACATCCCAGTGATTTTAATTTTAGACTAAAATGAAAGAGTTTGTTAAAGTATGCTTGAAGCATTAAGCCTGCAAGAGATTTTTGTAAAATATGTCCAATAAGTTGATGTTTAGGTGGGTGGCCACATTGCCCCTATGGCTCCTAAATCTAAAATAATAAAAAAAAATCTAAATCTCAACCGAATATGCGTTGCAGCTCCTAGTACATACCTAGTAGATACAACCGCGAGGCAAAAAAGCGAAACGAGACTCAGATACCGAACGAAATATGAGCTGAAGATAATTGTCAGGATCGAGGGAAAATATGCACTCCTTTGTGGCTACTGCTGCTAGACGGATGCTACTTACAACCTTTGGATTATCGGCCTTTTGGAGCAGGGTTTAAATTGTTGTTGAAAGCGTGTATGCTGGTATATGTTTATCTTGTTTAACGCTGAGATCTTGGGAGGATGTATTATTTTGCTGGTGTTTATACCCTTTCTCTCTCTTCGTTCATCCTTTTCTATGGTCGGCATTTGAAGAATAAGGTTAGGTGTGGTGCCCACGGTCCAACTGTCACCATCTGACAGGTTGGTGATTTGTAGCTTCGCTGCGTCGGTTTGCAGACGGAAGTAATGAAGGAGAGATTTTTGGGTATCCCGGATAAAAAGTTGAAATGTCCGTTAACAGTATTACGCTGTTTCGATAAAAACTTATGTACGCGGTGCAACACTAATCAAATAATCTAACTATAGGCTATATACACCCGAGCCCAAACTTAATATCTGTTTACATACAATTGAAATACATTCATCTATAAAATGTGCCAATTAGTCATTCTCAATTTTTTTTCAGAATTTATGTCCTCTTGAAACCAATTTGTTGATATGAATGTATATTTTTAATCGGGATGTTATTGCTATACATGTTGAGGTAAAATAACCTGTTTTTATATTAGCAGAAAAAACTTGTGTACAAGATTGTTTTTATTCAGGATTTGACAATGTTATTGTTTCCCTTAAACGACCTTGAAGGACGTTTATCGGTCTCAGTCCTGGAGAGCTGCCCGTTGTTTGGCCTTGTGACGTCGAAATTGAACGTCGGTTCCGTGCAGCCAGTCCAAGATGCCGATCGCTCCGTAGCATTGATTGAACCTGGAATGATGGGATTAAGGGAAATGTGGTAAGGTTATGGATTGTGTCACTTCTATAAGAAAATAAAGGATAAAAAATACTTCTGATGATGAAAATCGTGTACATCGGGGCTTCCTAGTAAATACGGCAGATGATACCCAGAATGGTCATGCAACGTTCCTAGTAGTGCAATCGTTGCCCAAACCCACGTTGTAATCAAATGTGCCTTGGTAAGCAGGATGCCTAGATAGAGTGGTGCCATATTGCTTACAATATGCTCAACGGGATGTGCGTAGACTGCGGCCAGCGATACCGGAGCGGTCCATTCGTGATGTTTCTTGTGGATTATTTTGTACAAATGCTTGGAGTGCAACATTCGGTGACTGTAGTAGAAAGCGACCTCAGTTAGTAACATCGATATCGGAATGGTATACAGGATTTCTCCCACTGAAGGTAGCTGCCTAAGGTCCGACAAACGATCCATTTTAACCGAAATAATATGGAACACGGCTAAGGTCGGTATTCCTACCACAACCATGTTGATGAAAGCTGTTTTGATCAACTGTAATAAATTTCCTTCTAATCAAATCTTAAAAAAAAACATAACTTCAACAAAAAGCAGCTACCGTTCTGAGTTGTGGCCATGTTAACGGTTCATTAGTTCCCGGTTGTATCTTGTACTTTCTTAGTCCCTTCGGTAGACCGGTGAAATCCATCCACATAAACAGACCGGACACGATCGTTACCACCAGAACCGTATAGACCGTAGTTCCGAAAATCCATAGCGCTGAATGATTCGGATTATAGATATCCAAAAATCGTTCCCACTGCCTTTGACACACTTCACAGCTCATGTTGTCGAGTTCAATAGCTGGTTGATACTAATAAGGGGCGTGCTTCGTCTAACGGTCAACATACTGTGTGTAAGTAATAGTTATCTTGAACTTGTGCGAATCACCCCAAGAATAAAGGTGAAGTGGTACCCAACCCCTGATAAGGGAATCCAACGAAAGTAAAGCAATGGAATTGAAAACAAACACAAAGTCGATGCCTGATAGTACTTACGGTTCACATAAATAATCAGGCTAAGCGGGGTTTTAAAATTTACCAAAAATGCGTACCTTTCTTAAATGGCGTTAATGCGTGGTTGGTTTGTGGCGATAGTGGCGCCTGAAGTACAGTGGATTCTTTATTTTCGCTATTGATGTGTCTGCACCAAAATATCGTGTAATTTTGATTGAATCACGTATAAATTCGCATTTTGTCAAAATTATGGTCAGGTCACCATTATGGATGCAAATGTAATAAAATATCAAGTATCGAGGTATCAAGTATAGGGAATTCTTGAAAGTCAAGTTATAAAAGTTCTTGAGATAACTCCAAAAGACTTGAATCAGTTAGTTTAGGGAACCTTATCAATTAAGTCTAGACTACATTAGTCAACATAGAAGACTTTGAGGTTTTGAGTCAACTTTCAAGACTTTGAGGATAAATTGTAGAGCTTATTTATAGCCAGCTCTTTTGAGTTAATATTGTAGGCCGTACGTCATCTGTGGATTTCAAATCCGCATACGACACAATCGATCGAGATCAGCTATGGCAGATTATGCACGAGTACGGATTTCCGGATAAACTGACGCGATTGGTCAAGACGACGATGGATCGAGTGATGTGCGTTGTACGAGTATCGGGGACACTCTCGAGTCCCTTTGAATCTCGAATGGGGTTACGGCAAGGTGATGGACTTTCGTGTCTGCTATTCAAAATCGCGTTAGGAGGTGTGATCAGAAAAGCTGGGATAGACACGAGTGGCACGATCTTCAGGAAGTCCATCCAGCTTCTTGGATTCGCCAATGACATTGACATCATGGCACGGAACTTTGAGACGATGGTGGAAACGTACATCGGACTGAAGGCTGAAGCTAGGCGGATTGGACTTGCCATCAACGCATCGAAGACAAAATACATGAAAGGAAGAGGTTCTAGGGAAGACAATATTAGCCTCCCACCCCGAGTTCAGATTGACGGTGACGAAATCGAGGTGGTCGATGAGTTCGTGTATTTTGGCTCACTGGTGACCGTCGAAAATGATACCAGCAGAGAAATTCAAAGACGCATTATGGCAGGGAATCGTGCCCATGGAGGACGCTCCGGTCGAATAAAATTCGCCGCCGCACGAAGTTGACTGTCTAGACCCTGATTAGACCGGTGTGGTCCTCTACGGCCACGAGACCTGGACTATGCTCGTGGAAGAGTAACGCGCCCTTGGTGTTTTCGAACGGAAGGTGTTGCGTACCATCTACGGTGGAGTGCAGATGGATGGCGGATGAATTGCACCAGCTGCTGGGAGAACCATCCATCGTCCACATTGCAAAAATTGGGCGACTACGGTGGATCGACCAAGTAGAAGGCGACCTGTGGACCCTTCGCAGACTACGAGGCTGGCGAAGTGTGGCCATGGATCGAGTAGAGTGCTTCGGACACGGAGGACAACAAGGCCTTAGCCTGATTGGTTAGGTAAGTACGTCATCTGTGGAAGCCTTTTGTAAGAAATATAATCCCTACAGATGATATAGATTAAATCAGAGATCTTTCGCGCTTTCTCCGGATACCCTATGACGCAAGTAACAATTTAACAGCCTTTTTTATTTCTCTCTGATTTATTGTGGTTTTATAATTGCAATAATCAATCTTTTTAGTTTAAATACAGTATTTAATAGTGCAAAACATTCTTGGTTAGTAGTTCGGCTTTATGCTGTTTTAAAAACCCAGCTATTCCAAGTTATGTAGACCGAGGGGGAAGACGGCTTTCATTTGAGTACCTCTTTCACTCAGAGTTGCTCCGAGCTACTCTGGTTTGCTCTGGGATCTGATCTAATTTGTGACGAAAACAGAATTAGTAGGGCATATAGTTTTGGAATCTGACCATCCAAATGTCAGTTCGATAACGAAACGAAAGCAATGAATGAAGAAAATAATTGGATGCAATAAGGAAATGATCTCGTTTTCTACCAGTTCATGGAAGTTTTGGCTATTTTCTTAAATCACTCTGATGATGGATTTCTGCAGGGCACTTTTATCTTTGCAATGGTAATGAAATTGACCAGGATCTTGCTAACGTAGTACTGGGCATCCAGATGCTTAGAGCAAGCGAATGGATATTCCCTTCCGGCTACCAGCTCCGGTGGGGACATGTGCTGGAGGATGAATCCTGTGAGGGTCTCGATTGCTAGAACAGGAAAATACAAGCGTACAAACTATTCCACCAAACCCCCACAGACGCCCCCTAGCCCCATTTATTTTGTATCAAAACAGCAACGTTATTCCCCCTCGATGTAGACACACTTCCAGAGTAACTGCTTGAAATGGATGAAAATCGTCCTTGTCAAGGATGCCATGCAATTCGTTAACCCAACACTGGAGTAGAACCTGAATCGCACAACAAATCTATCGAATGATAAACAAATTTTGACGTTTAACATTTTCAGGCAACTTTGCCACCATTAATGCCGCCATAAAATTAAACGGAATTGGCAAATCAAAGTGCCAACTTACCAGATTTAAATAAAATGCTCCATTTGCAAAATAAAAGCATTTTAAGATTGAACTCGTATACCTCACCGTGTAAAATTTTGAAACCATCATCACTTTCATAGTTCTTCTATTCTCCACGAGTGCCAACTTTGATTTGCCAATAGGATCAAGCGTAATGGCTTCAGATAAAAACAATTCAGTCTGAATTAAAACGCATTAAACGTTATTATTAAAACCGCATTAAAACGTTTTGCATTTGTTTGCGATTTCATGAAAGTAGAACAGCTCTTTCACAAATGCCTTATGGATAATTAATGTGTGTGCTATCGCCATATTGTTATTATTCCATTTGTTTTCTTAAAATATCAGCCGGAAAATTGTTGATCGGTATTTAGTCCGAGGATAGTATCGTTTGAAGCTTACCACACAGATTAAAATTCTGAATTGTAATTGTGATGTAAACATTCATTCACGTAAACTTGTATTTCATTTCACGCAACTGAGCAACTTGCAAACAATGTTGTTTGCAAGGATGGACTTTTGTATACAATATTTGATACATTGCATGAAATGTGTCAGAACTTTACATCATATAAAATGTAAACGTATATGATATGTGACGCTCCATTTATGTGCATTATATTGAACACAAATTTACACTACTTTTTCGAACTGTGCACCGTTAGAGAAGGTCATCACTTAGAAAAGTTGATGTAAATTTAGGTGCTCTGAGACTGAATACGAGCGTCAATTTTGATATAAAATTGAGTCATAATAGACGTGAAATTCAGCTCAATCAAACGTACTTTCGAACTTTTCAGTCTCGTAGCACTTAATTTTACATGACATGTTTGTTTACGTCTCATCCTTTATGTAAGATTTGATTTTTCTAAGTGTGTAGGCAATGGGTTATTCGGGGTGGTGTAAGATCATTAGGTCGACAGGCTGAAGTAAGTTAGACCGAATGGATCATTATGCAGAAGATTTTCTCCCTTTAAAAAATAAGTAGTTCCTTGCAAGGATTCTGTTCTTTTGATTTTTGACACTTACGGTTTTTAATTTTTATGCATCATTTCTAGGAGTTTTTCCTGCTTTTCAACATGAGCAGTTCGCAGTTAGAAATAACTATTTTTTTACACGAGACGTAATCCATATTGGACGTAAATCATAGTTCGTAAACAAACATTTCATGTAAAATTAAGTGTTCTCAAACCGAAACATAAGCAACTCGTCGAAGAGATCGTTTGATTGAATTTTTGATTTTCTCGTTTCTTTCAACTGATTCGTAAGTCAAAAGGGCCGCTTACATATGTCGGTCTCAGGGAACCGGATTTACACGACTTTTTCATAGTGTGTTCTTTCGAGTGCCATTGGGGCGGGAACGCCTGTAGTGCAGGAGCGCTTGTGGAACGGAAGCTACAGGGAGGTGGGGGAGCCCCAAAAGGAACGGATTCGCCGGTTGGGTGACAGCAACAGTGGGATGAGAGCGGCAGTTGTGGCTCCCTCTTAAGGCCCACGCACATTCGATCCGGATCGGACACGTTGCGGCAAAGTGACAGCTAAATCTATTGTCTAACTGTCAAATTTACGTTAGCGCAACGCAAACGGATCTAATGTGGGTGGCCCTTTAGTGCCATTAATACTTATTACCCATTCGACCAAACGTTGTTAGTCATAACGTATTTCGGCCAAATGACCGAGCACCATTCCGGGTAGTGTCATAGAGTCAACAAAATGTAGTTCCTGAATTCAAGTGTTAAATGGAAAATCATTCACATTCTTTGCACCTATTAACCCACATGTTTTATATATAATGATTAAATATGGTTTCTTCAATATAGAGATTCTTATCTTCTTTCACATGAGTTGTTCTATCTGGAGAAGGCCAAGCTATTTATAAAATCCTCCCTTATGTAAATCCTTGGTTAATATATTATCGAGAAAGAATGCTACCATTCAGAGTCTAGAAAACCCCGGTCTTTCATTTCGAATCCGCTTCGAGTTTGCTCAGTTTGCTTTGACAGTTCAAACTTTCAACATAAATTTGGGACTGGTCCCATTTTTACAACACATTTGGTCACTTTGTATACTTTTATGTGAAACGTCCATTATGCGAAATGTCCATTCAGTCAAACGTCTTTATGTGAAATGAGCCGTCCGCTAATGTAAGGTAGACATAAACCTCTTATGTACTCACAAAGCCACATTACGGACGTAATCGGGATTTCCCAAATTGTTGAGCGACAAATTAAATCACTATACTAACCTAAACACTTAGAAATACCTAATCTTACACGTGACGGAATACATCTTTGACATAAAGGATGAGACGTAAACAAACATGTCATGTAAAAGTAAGTGCTCCGAGACCGAAAAGTTCGAAAGTACGTTTGATTGAGCTGAATTTCGCGTCTATTATGACTCAATGTTATGTTAGGATTGACGCTCGTATATGTCAGTCTCAGAGCACCTAAATTAACATCAATTTTTCTAAGTGTGTAGGTGAAAATTACGAAGCCAGTAAAATATGAACCTAACGACTTTCTCTGGTCCTTTTCAATCTTTCTCTGGTCCCTTCGGATCTCCGGTGGGTAATTAGACCTCACCAAAGTTTCTCCATGCTCCATAGAGACCATTGGTGTAGCTAATGTGGATGTCTAGAGAGTAGGCCCCCTTCTGATTTATCTAGGCTCCCCTGGCAGGTCCGAGGTAAGTTTTTAACAGCGATTAACACTCCGAATACGGTGGGTAAAATACTTTACGCCGATTACGAAGCCTCAGAAAAACGTGTAACAGCAAGTTTGCAATGACATAACTTAGCCATTTCTTGATGAATTTCAAGAATTATGGTAAGGGAAAAGTTGGTTTCGGCAATACCTTAACCTATTATCGTCAGGGGGATAAACAACGTCCTTGAGAGCTCAATTTTGACATGTGGATACATTGTGTTTCAGAGCAACTATTGGTCAAATTTGAGTGCTCTAGAACTTTGTTTACCCCCCTGACGATAATAGGTTAAGGTATTGCCGAAGACAACTTTTCCCCTACCTCTTGAATTCCTAGGCTCTGTAGATTATTTTAATTGTATAAAGATTGAAAATAGGGTCGTCTAATTTTTTAAAAGCGAAAAGAGTCGTTACACTTTTTTAAGGTGTGTTTATGGGTTTTGCAAGTGGCTTAAGATCCATAATTTAGATTAATGGGCGCAAATGTTCATAATTAGTCAGAATACAGTCATGGTTCCTATATATGGAACCTGGAGAGAACGGAACGGTCCTCGAAAGATCCGGAACCTCCGTAAAAGTGGTATATGCATAAACCTGATCCTAGAACTCCGCGTTTTTTTTCAAAAACATTAGGAACTATGATATAAGAAAGAATTTGGGTTCATGACATAACATGGACTCGGATGGCCATCGGACCGTCTTCCGGAAGATCCAGAACACCCGTAAAAGTGTTCAATATATGAGACTGATCCTAGAGCTCCACGGTTTTTTTTTCGAAAACACTGTCATATATAAATTAATAACGGGTTATGACATAAACATGTACCTAGAAGGCCGGACCGTCCTCCGGAAGATCTGAAACATCCTTAAAAATGGCCAATCCATAAAACTGATCCATGAGTTTCACGGTTTTGTCGAAAACACGTGGAACTGTGATATAAGAAATAATTTGGGGTCGTAACATAAACATGAACCCGAATGACCATGAAACCGTCTTACGGAAGATCCGTAAAAGTGGTGCATCGATGATACTGATTCTAGAACTTTGCGGTTTTCTCGAAAACACTTCGAACTGTGAAGTTTTCGAAAAAATATATGTATGAAACACTTTTACGGATGTTCAGGATCTTCCGAATGACGGTCCAATGGCCATCCAGGTTCATGTTTATGTCACGACCCCAAATTCATTCTTATAACACAGTTCCTAATATTTTTTTGAAATAAACTGCGGAGCTCTAGGACCAGTTTCATGGATTTACCACTTTTAAAGATGTTCCAGATCTTCCAGAGGACGGTTCCATGTCCATACAGGCCTATGTTTACGTCACGACCTAATTTTTTTCTTATATCACAGTTCAAAACGATTAAAAAAACTGCTGAGCTCTAGAATCATTTTCATGTATGAACCAATTTGACCGATGCTCCAAATCTTCCGAAGGACGGTTCCATAGCCATCCGGGTCCATGTTTATGTCACGACCCCATTTTTTTCTTATATTACAGTTCCACGTGTTTTCGAAAAACTGCGGAGCTCTAAGATGTTTCGGAGGATGGTCCTATGGCCATCCAGGTCCAGGTTTATATCATGATCCCAAATTCTTTCTTATATCACAGTTCCTTGTTTTTGAAAAAAACGTGGAGCTCTAGGACCATTTTCATGGATGGACCACTTTTAAGAATCTTGTGGATCTTCCGGAGGACGGTCTCATTGCCATCCGGGACCATGTTTATTTCACGACACTAAATTATTTGTTATATCACACTTACTTGTGTTTTCTAAAGAACCGCGGAGCTCTAGAATCAGTTTCATGGATGAATCACTTTTACGGATTTTTCGGATCTTTCGGAGGATGACCCCATGGTCATCCGGGTCCATTTTTATGTCACGACCCAAAATTCTTTCTTATATCACAGTTCCACGTGTTTTCGAAAAAACCGCGGTGCTCTAGGATCAGTTTCATGAATGGACCACTATTACGGATGTTTTAGATTTTGCTTAGGTCGGCCCCATAGCCATCTGGGACCATGTTTATGTCACGACCCCAAATTCTTTCTTATATCACAGTTCCAAGTGTTTTCGAAAAAACCGTGGAGCTCTAGGATCAGTTTCATGGATTGACCACTTTTACAGATGTTTCGGATCTTCCTGAGCACGCTCCCATGGCCATCCAGGTCCGTGTATATGTCATGAAGCCAAATTCTTTCTTATATCACAGTTCCTAATGTTTTCAAAAAACAACCAATTTTACGGATGTTCCGAATCTTCCGGAGGACCGTTCCGTTGTCTCCAGGATCCGTATGTAGGAACCATGACTGTATTCTGGCTCATTATGAACATTTGTGCCCACTTCAGCAAACCAGTTCAATTGTCCGGTACAAATATGTTGGATTACCGGCCACGTGGCAACGAAGAAGCAGATCGACTTACCGGCAAAGCGCGTAACAGTCCGCCACTCAACGTCACCATCCCGAGAAAGGATGCCATCACGGCAATGAACCATGCCATTCGTCTGCTATGGGGAAGAACACTGGGCGCAATTAACGCAATTCAAGTTGAAGGAGGTTAAATGCGGAACCAAAAAGTGAACCGACCAGCAAAGTTCCGCCGACCAGACCACCACGTGATTTTGCACTGCAGAAAGTTTGAAACAGCCAGAGTGAAATCCGATATTGATTCAACCAGCCTACATGCGCCGTTATGCAACGACGATGACATGGAAAAGCAGTTGCTAAAGTTTCTACAGAAAGTCAATATATAGGAAATTGTGACAAGAGAGAAGAGTGAGAAAATTATATAGAAGAAAACAGGAAGCGAGAAGATGATGAAGAGGAAACAGACGAGACGAAACGGATGAAACGTGGTGAAGAAGGCGGATGAATATGAAGAGGATAACGGAATGGAAACTAAAAAAGAAGATACTAAAACAAAATGCAGACACTAAGAAGATGATGGAGAGGAAACAGAAGAAAATTAATGGAAAATGGAAATGTGCGAAAATCAATGAAGAAAGCAAAAAAAAGCAAAGATATGGATGAAGAAGGCGAAGCAGAAGAAGTATCGGAGAAAGAAAGAATAAGGAGCAAATAGAAGGTGTAAAGAAGAGAGAAGAAATTGAAGAAAAGCAAACAAAAGATACGGCGGAGCAAACCGAAACATCGCGACGAAACCACATTCTAAAAGCTCTACATGAAGAATGCTGTAAGTATTTTTGACAATTCAATTTTTTTAATAGTTGCTTGAACTGTTGTTTTGATTTTCAACCACTTTTTAAAAAGAGGTTCGAGATCAATCTCAGTTTTGATTATATCAATATAGCATATCCAAGTTGCACAATATCGTAGGTGGTACGAGCTCCAAACTGTTGCTAAGGAGAAGACTCACTTCTATCCGTTAGTTAGATAGTAAACCCTTATACATGTCACGGGAAATGTGTAATGTTAATAGTAGGAATGGTAAGCCATAGTATACGCCCAGTCAGCGTTGCTGGCAATCGTAATGAATATACGCGAGAAAGTATACCTCGTCTAATTTAACATATGAACAAGTCCTACTTACTTCTGGTGATGAAAATCGTGGAAGTCCGGCGTGCCCCATAGGTACGGCAAATGATACCCGGAGTGATCGTGCAGGGTTCCCATCAACACTATCGTTACCCAAATCCATGCCGTTAGCAGATGCGTCTTGACCAGCATGACTGGCGCGTAGAACGGTGCCATATTGCTTACGATGTGCTCTAGCGGGTGCGCGTAGACGGCGGCCAATGATACCGGAGCGGTCCATTCGTGGTGTTTCTTGTGGACGGTTTTGTACAGCAACTTTGAATGTAACAATCGGTGGCTGTAGTAGAATACAATCTCGGATGACACCATACCGATTGGAATCGTGTACAGTATCTCCAGCAAGGAGGGTAGTGTTCTGAAATCTGCAGTGCGTCCTAACGCAACGGTTGTTGCGTGAAACACAGTCAAGGTTGGAGTTCCCACCAGGATCATGTTGACGAATGCGGTCTTGAGCAACTGTAATCGAATCAAAGCTGCTGTGTACCGGTTGTAAAAACTAACACTATTTTCCACATCATCCTACCTTCCTCAGCTGAGCCCAGGTGAGTGGCTCATTGGTTCCCGGTTGTAGCTTATATTTTCGCAATCTTTTCGGAGCGCCGGTTATGTCCATGAGCATGAACGATCCAGATATAATTGCCGCCACTACGGTCGTGTAGATTATTGTTCCGATGGTCCACCACACGTGTGGATTAGGATCGTAGGCATCCAGGAAGCGTTCCCACTGCCTTTGACACAATTCACAACTCATGCTGGATACTTCGAGAGTACTCGCGATACTAATCGAATTTTCAGCTGAAATCAGCTTCCTCGTAGTCGAATAGATGTACCTAGAACTAAAAAAATAAATAAAACTATGATTGACCGACAGAGTGATGTAGCACAAATAGACGCTTTTTTAGTTTCTTATATGACCGTATGACTCGTATATGTACAGGTACACACACCGTACAGTTGAATTTTGGGAGGGTTTTTGTTCAGTCGTATATTATTCTTGCTCAGCGGTAGTTGGTACATCACCGACTGACCGTGATGCTGTTGCGCTACCGAGTGGTCTGACGTAGATTTGGGATAATTACGCTATACCTACACCTATGTGGGGTTTGCGTATTGTTTACCTATTTCTCGTTTGATGACAGCGAGAAATTCAAGTGGTATCTTGATGATCCTCCGGGGTTTTGTTATTGATGTTATTGTAACTGAGAATGAATGGAGACGTTCTGCAGGAACTTGAAAGAGAATTTGGTCGAGTGATTGCTAGTACGTGCTGGTCAATGTTTGAACTGTCCTTAGTGGGTCAATGATAGGGTTAAAAGCATGTGCCTTTTTCCTTTAAAACCAATACCATTCGTTCAAAAATAAAATATATTTCGTCTATGTGTTAATTTTCGTTGTCAATACGATGTTATCTATCAATCTATTTATTCACAAACAAAAATTGCAAATATTTGCTGTATGCATAGTTTTAGAAATCTCACTCTGCCAACTGGTTTTGATGTGATAAAACAGGGTGGCCATCAAGCTGGGAAAACCGCGAATCGTAAACAATCATGTAAGACCGAGACATAAACGGGAATTTGATGGCGACCTTAAAATGATATGTTTTATAACGTCTATTGATCGAATTCCGTAAATCATTTGTCTGTACCTCGGGGTCTTTCTTGATTAGGTATGTCCTCTTGGATTCTGTCATAGGGTAGAGAACTACTTCGACCTAATCGCCCATTTTGGGCCTATCGAGCAGAAAACTTCAAATAACTCCATGATTTCAGAGTTAACAAGTCAATTATGCGTTTGGTACGATACTTTAGTTAATAAGCTACCGAACGAAGTCAATGAGAACGCGTGGTATGAAAGTTTGCACCCATTATTCCCAAAAACAAAAGAAGCGCTCCGACCGAATCCATTTTTATCTTCATCCGATAGGCCGAAGTGAATTCATTGGCGTTTCAATTGCATTTCAATGCGTTAGGCCGAGTTTAAAATCCGTAGGCCGAGTTTGGCGTCAAGAAGCAGTGTTAGACTTTTGACAATATCTCAACGATTGGTTTCTCGTTTTCAAATCTTATGGTACGTACGGAAAGGTAAATAAATTTGGAAGCCATCAGTGATAATAACATTCTGTTTGGTGCTAAACTGATCTAGATTAAGAAAGACTAAGTGCGGGTTGTGCTTAATAGGCCGGAAATGGGGTATTTAACCCTACTAGATAAGATTTGTTCTTAAGTATTCGAAAAAATATCTCTTGCGTACATTTTCTTGAAAAACTCACGTTGTCTGTACCCTGGCCGTATCTCAGTGATGTTTAAATTGAATGTTTTATAATGTAATTTAAAGCACTTTATGTTAAACTATTAAAAAAATATGAATATTTTTTTCCTGAACATCTTTGCCGAAGAAATTGATATCCCACATGGTATAATCCAGGTCTATGGAGTCGGATCTAAATCGACCGATTTCGACTACGATTCCTCTGATTTCAAAATAACCAACACCGACTCCGACTCCACGACTCTGACTCTGACTCTAACTCCAATTGGAACAGAATACAATAGAAATGTACTTCATCAAATTTTGGTTGATTAAGTATTTAAGAAAAGATTGAAAATTTAAGAAAAAATATTCATAACATAAACATACATGGCTAGCAAATTGATTGATTGATTTTTTGAAAGTTTTATCGAGCTTTTAAAGAACTCTTCAGGCCTAAACCATGGTCTCCAAAAACGTTATAAAACCAGAATTGTTGCTTGGGCCTTGTTCACTGATTAAAATATTTACTGTATGGAAATGTATTTAATAATCAAATTGAATATCTTCTTCTTTTGGATTTATTACGTTCCTACTGCGACTTTACGCCGGCCGTCATGTTACCGGTTTTTTGAGCACTTCTTTAGTTGTTAACGGAGAAATTTTTAAGCCTGTACCGTGTTTGCATTAGTATAACGCAAGTACAATCATACTCTATGCCCAGGGAAATCGAGAAATTTTTCAACCCTAAACATTCCTAGATTAGACCGGGAATTGAACCCAGCCGCCTCCAGCATGGTTTTGCTTTATAGCTGCGCCTTTACCGACTGACCTAAGGGAGGCCGAATTGAATATCAATACAGTAAATCTTGCTACGTATTTTGCGAAATCTTAAGAATAAATTTGGGTAAAATATTTATTAAATTGTAATGCTTTGAAAATTGAAATTTATTTTCATATTGTAAAATTTTTTGAACCAATCCATTTAACTAGCTTTTGTCAACTAAAGTTTAACTAGCTTTTGTCAGCTTTTTTTAATGTTTATCTTCCACATTTGTTTGAGTTTCCGAAGATTGAAGTTAGATTCATTATTATTTCAGTAAACTAAAAAAAAATTCAACTGTATTGTTTTTCTTGGTGATTACAGACTACGAAAATCCTTTGGTTTTTGCTGAAGGACTGATAATTATTATTAAGATTTTAAAATTCTTTAAATCCAATTTGTAACTTTGAACTTCCATGAAACTCCAATGGCTCTAAAACTTTCTCAAGAATCTGACATATTGAAATATTTTCAAAGTTCTTATAATTAGCTTGTTTTTCAACAGTCTGGCACTTCAAAGATTGATAATGTTGGCTAGAATTCTAAAGAAATTTTTAGCTCGAGAGATAATTTCAATGGGTTCTTAATAAATATTAGGGAGTTTTAAGAAGAGCCCTTGCAACATTCTAAGAAGAATTTTAACTAAGTCTTAAGGACATTTTCAGGAGCTTTCTGAGGAAAATTTCAAGAAAATGATAAGCAAACTTCAATAGCAGATCGGAGGTGAATTTCAAAAGGTTTCTGAAAAATGCTTATAGGCAAATCTAAAGAAATTACCAAAGGAGCTGTAATAAATATAACAAGAGTATTTTATACATAGAATAAACTGAAGTGCGAGGTTTCATGAATTTTCAAGTAGATTGTGAAAGTTTGAAGGGAATTCCAATTAGAATCCAAATTGTTTCTAGTGTGTCAGAAATTTTACTTGTGAATATCGGGTGGAAAACAAAATAAAATTGTCGATTTTTGCAACTTCTCTGAACTTTATTTCAAGATGGTCTAAAAATAATCATGAGTGCCAATATTTTATGGTAGATCTCTACCAATACTAAGTTTTCAAACATAATTTTGCAAGTTGTTAAAGATAAATAGATGAGATGAGATGAGGAATTGGGAATGTCTTCGATAAAATAAGAAACCTTTAAGTATTGAACGTTCACCAAATTGTAGAATATTAAAATCAATTTCATGGTAAAAAAAACGCGCTACATTTTTATAATTATACGTTTATTGAACATTTTAATAAATTAGGGATACTAAAGATGTTTGATCATTTTGCTTTGCTTAATTATCGGAGTTTTTGGGACAATAATGTAATATTTTCTAAATGCTAATCGTTTAGAGTTGACTATATGGACATTATTGAAAGGACTATTATTCCAAGGTTATGATCCTTTTATAACTTATCTTATCTTTCTTTATTAAAGAGTCTTTCAGCCGACGGATCTTCCTTTAATACGTCGTTTAAAAAAAATATGTTCGAAATGTTCTACATTTACCGAAGCCTCAACCGAAGTAGGAAAAAAGTTAAAATTATATTAGACTCAGAATTTTAAAAACTGTCATTGTCTTGTGAAAATAGCAAAACATGTGTTCGTAACCTTAAAAAAATCTATTCTTTGGATCTTAATTTCTTGCTAGCTTTAGATTAGTTAAACAATTCGTAAACCCAATTTATCGCTTTTCAACCCTGGTTAATTATTAATTCTGGTTTTCTTCCTAATGTTATTGAGCATGATTTCCGTCATCTTTATCAATAATTTGAATGAGATAACTTGAAACTTGTTACTAAGAAAATGCTTGGGAACATTTAAAAAAAATGCTGTTAGGGGTTTTTAGGGAAATTTAAAAGATAGGGGAGTGGAAAATCAGAGGATTGTAAGGCTTAAAACTAACTTGATTTTAATACGACTAGAAAAAACTTGAAACTTGAAGACAATCGCTATAGTTTTGAAAGGTTCTGGCACTCTGTATACATTATTTATAAACATGTTGTATTTTTATACAAATTCATAAAATACCGGTGACATATGCCGAAGTATGACTGAAAATTCAGTTCCGGTTAAACGACGATCGACCTAGTAATCCATACGATATAATAGCGTTCGGTATAATGGTGTTCAGCTAATCGGCGTCTAACCTAATTCTCCATAAAAAAGGGGGTAGTTCATCTTGACTTCAACTGTTAAAGAGATTAATTTTTCATTTACAAATAAAAATGGGCAGACATTTAAACAAGCATTTCTGTTACTCCTAATGAAGAATGCCACAATTTTAAACGAAAAATTGGCGCAACATTTGACCATTGTACCGGAAATGTTTACTACATTTTTAATTTTTAACGAAAATGAACAAAATATTGAATATGATTGTCACAATTTCTAAATAAAATCATAATGTTGATTGAATGAAAATGGTCACAATCTCAATCAAAATTGTTCCCAATTGTTAACAATTTGTTTATTTTTTTCCAAACTTATAAAAAGCAGTTTACAATGAACGCAAACGAAAAAAAAAAATTGTGGGGTTGTATCCAAGCCACGCATGGTTGACGTAGACGACGTTAAGCTGTTTAGTAAATTTTTCTTGATATTGATTTAAAATACAGTAGAAGTAATCCATTATTTTCGTCATTTTACATTTCATACTTAGTCAAACTTGGGCAAATTCAGGACTTAAAATTCTAATACATATTCTGTTACATTTGGTTCCTA